CTTTACTTCGATTTCAGCAAGGCTTTCAACAGTGCTTCACACAAACTCCTTCTTCCAAAACTATCTTCATTTGGCATACAAAATCCCCTTTCATCTTGTCTCAAATCTCTTTTTTAGAAGAACGTAGCCAAATAGTTCGCTTTGGACCTTGTTACTCTAGGCCTGTGAATGTAACCAGTGGGGTTATACAAGGAAGTGTGATTGGTCCATTAGTCTTTCTCCTTCTTACCAATGACATGTGTTCCATCTTTCAGTATAGTAAACATTTCCTTTTTGCCGATTACCTAAAAGTAGTTTATTTATTGTCTGCTCCCACCACAGAGAGCTATATTTCAGCAGCAATCCAAGAAGAAATAAACAAGTTGTACGAATGGACTGTTCCGTGTAATTCGTCACTTAATGTTGACAAAAGTGGATTTATTCACATTGGCCCTGCCTTAACTTAAATCTGACTGTACACAAACATGCACTGAAACCTCTCAACACTGTTCGTGACTTTGGTTTAAGATTTAGCAACAGCTTGAACTTTTTTGAGCACATCATATCTCAAGTATCCAAAGCTAGAAAGCTCATCGAATTCATAATGATAAACTTCAATAATATCGAATCGAGATTATCATTATACAGAAAATGTATCTTACCCATTCTTGAATATGGTATTTTAGTTTACAGTAATTGTAGGTATACTGACCTGATTAAAATTGAAGGTGTTCAAAAAAGGTTCAACAAAGCTGTTTCGGGGTATTGCGACAACAAAGACTATCACCAAAGATGTAAACAACTCAAATTAGAACCTCTCTGGATCAGGCGTATCAAATTAAACCTTGTCTTTATCTACCAGCTTATTAACGATATTTCCTACTCTTCGATTTCCACCCCCTCATACTCTATGATATCACACCAAAATCTACGCAATAAGTGAACTATTCTAGCAATTCCAAGAACCCACACAAGCCTACGCTAGAATGTTTCCGTTATTCGCTATTCAACCATGTAGAACAGACTGTCAGTGAACCTCCGTTTCAGTGAAACTACAACCAGGCTCAGAAGCCTCCTTGGTGATTTTCTTTCTGAAAGTGGATTGTGTCACCTATTAAATTTCAGTGCGTTTAATAATGATTTATACACACAACGTCCGTCATCCATCTAATTGACTGAAAAGCAAAGTGTAGCCTATGAAACTTTTCATGCCTATTTTATTTTATTTCTGTTCATTTTAATATATGAAGTTTGCCAATGTTAATATTTGTAATTATTACTATTATTGTTATTATCATGATTGGTCCATCAACTCATTAGATATTTTTTTCATCTCTTTTTTTTCTTTCTATACTTGTTTTATTCCTAAACATCAAAAGTCTATGGCCAGAAACAAGTTATCTTACTTTACATTTAAATAAATTAACTCCTCAGATTCATTTAATCTTCACCACATGTATAACACATAGAAATTTATATTTGATTATCCTTTGCAATTAATTGTGACTTTCATAGCATCATTTTTAATTATTATTTCACAAACATTTATACTAATATCAAGTTTTACTGTGTATCTTAATACAAAAGTGTACATGTGTTTACCTGATTGGACTTAAAGAAATTTAAAAAATCAATGCTTCGCTTCAGAGGTCGATATTCATTATACTCTTATTATCATAGTTGAAGCCTTTCACTAGGTGTTCATTTCTATTCTCTCTCTTCCTTCTAAATGAATATTATTCTTAAGATTCCGAATTTTGTAATTAAGACAATAACTTGTGTTACAATTAAATTAACTTATTAGACTCGTTTTATTTTCACTATGCATATATGACTTATACATATTGATATTTGGCTATCATTTGCACCTAATTGAAACTTTCATGGCATCACCCCAAATTAAGACTGCACAAACACTTATGCTAGCGTCATATCATACTATGTTTAATTTCATTTTCGTTACCCATTTGGCAATACATACATAGTCGTTTATTCTTGTTCTGTGTTCACAAACACGCTTATTAGACTATTCACGTATTTCGAGTCTCCTTTATTTCTACTCCCTTATTTTCTACTTTTTCCTCATTATTATTCTCAATTATACCGAGACTGATTTATTATTATTCTATCATGATAACACTATAATCACTATTTTCCTTCTTTTTCTCTCTTTTTCAAATATGGCAAATGTAATGCTAACGTATTTGAAATTTGTGTTATGGAATTGGGCCCTGACCATTGTTCTATCTCCAGCCTGTATGTGTTCTCCGTCATATATTGGTAATTGTTGCGACACGGTGATTCAGTGTAGACGATGATGTCACTTCCATGTGAGATCTTATAGACTAGGCAGTTATAACATGATAAATTTGAAATTCTAGGATTAGGTCTATTATTAGAGCAGTTCTAATAACGAAGTAGACCATAATTCTACATGGTTTCTTCACAACACTTATATACCCAAAAGATGTTCGTGAGTAATAATATGAAGCTGTTAGTCAGACATTCGAAGCTACAATAGTAACTCAACCGTCCTTCACACTGCTTGATAGGCGTTATTCTATTTTTTTTATTTAATGGATCTATTCAATATTATATTTTGGTACAATATAGAATTCTCAGCACAGGGTATTTCAACAAGTTTCTTACGCAAAAAACAGAAACCAAGAGAAAAAAAGGAAAAAAGGGTCTAAAAAAATCTGAAAAACTGTACAACTTTTTAAATTAGAAACATGTTAAGAATGCAGGTTATTGACTAGGTTAACTCTAACAACCTGTTCGTCACAGAGTATATTTGCTAGGTAAGACATTATAGAACTTTAATACTTTTCCTTGCGTGCATGGATTTTAATGTAATTACGTCTCGTTCTACCGAAAGATATACAAGGAGGAAGATGGATTTGATTGGGTTGGAACGTTTCAATTATAAAAGATGTTACTGGTTAAGGTGTTGTCAAATTTCGAATACTTGTGGCATCTAGTACTGAATTCCTGGAGATTTTTATAGGATTTTATACAAATTATCTTCACTAACTCACAGAGCGTTTGTCGAAAATGGCTCCACATCGGATGAGCACATGACTTGACATTTCAGATTCAGACATCCCATCAGTTATTTATTACGAAATAAAATACAAAGGATCTACACTATTTAAGAGTACAACGCTATATTGTATAGTTATATCTATACCCCATTCTGTAATTTGGGCCGGAATAGATCGTGTAAACGTTTTGTAAATTTCAAGACACGAACCAAAATCTATGGAAAATTATGTAAGAAATTGTAGGTCCAGTGAAATGTCACTGAGCCCTAGCCAAATCATCCGGCAGTTGGGTCACTGAATATTGAACAGATCATCGATCTCTTGTCAAGGTCAAGGATAACCAACGTGCATCAGTTGATCGTACGCCATGGCTGGCGCATGCAGTGGTGATCTAGCCTTCTACTCTGCACTCATTCTTAATAGTACATTTCCATATTAACGTCCTTCGTGTTATACGTTCTTCAGAGCAGCCATAGTACATTGATACGTCGGAGAGGTAATCCACGTTAAGTACTGACCGCGAGATGTGATCTCGAAGTTGACTGGTTCGTCATACCATTCCTGTTTAACTCGAGTAGGCCTCCAATCAACCGACATAGATCATCAAGATTTTCGATCTACAAAATCGCAACTGAGGTCATAATCGCTGGTATAATAATAACGCTAGTACCATTTCTACAGACTAGGCATTTTTAAAATAAGCACTAATAAACCCTGACTATATAATTTCCTCTATCCAAACTGTAAGTTTGTGGTTTATGCTGTCAGGGTTTGTTAGACAAGTGTATCTCCAGAGAATTCGAATTTAACAAGACTAGTTGCTCACAAAGGCGAAGATGTATAAACAACTGGCCCGCATATGCACAGACCTTGGCAAGTCATGAAAATAGTAATGTCGCCCACCTACACGAAATACATCACTCCTGTTTTTCAGACTAGTAAAAAATGACTGATCTTACTGCAAACAAAGGATGTCATAGTATGTCCGATGACACACGGAATCATTTTTGTTCCTGACTCCACAATGTAGTAATGTGGTAGTTTTGAGGAGTTAACAGAGTAACTTGTTAGTACCGTACTTTAAGTGGGTGATCTTATCCGCAACGCAACCATGTAAACTTAATGTATCGCACACTGTCGTTTGTGCGTTCAAGTAACCACAGATTTTGTCATTTCATAATGTATTTTTAATTAAATAACCAGATTATGTAGTTAATTTTCATCTCTTTTTAATTTTTATTCGCCACGTCCGACTGCGTTGTACTATACGTCCATTGCACGCTGAGATGATATCTCAAGTCATAGTGAGTTTATTCACATAGTTGATTGTTTCCAGGTAGACTGTCAGAGTATTACACTAACTTCTAGATTTCAGCACACTGAAACATCAAATTCTGTAGCTGCACAAAAGAAATAGCGGAAAAACACAGAACGAAGAAAGCCGGCCGACATTTTATAACACAAGACTAGCCAGATTGCCTGAAGAAATACATTGACTTGAGTATAAGCAGCAAAAACCCAGCAAACATCGCTGATTCGAAATAAACTTCACACCAACATATAGAACATTACACTAACTGCAGCATTTTAGCACACTGAGACATTAAATTACATAGCTACACAAAAGAAATAGCTGAAAGAAGCACAGAACGAAGAAGGCTGACCGCCATTGCTTACAAAGATGGCGGATGTAATAATTCCCGCCTCATTCTGATTGGTTGCTAAGCTGAAGGGCACATTTACGAAATTGAGTTGCGTTTAACTGCAGCCCTTTAAGTATGTAGTAACGCATTTAAGAAATGTGACGTGCCGAAACAAATAGAGGTGAGCCATCTAAAGTGAAATTATCCATATCATTCACTCAAATAAACAGATCCAACCTGATTTTCAATTATTAACTCCTTATAGTTTTTGACTTATACGTAAGTAGAATTGAGAATTGGTATATCTGGCGCATAGCTTGTATATTGCGTTACTATGATTCAGAAGCGTGTTGCGTATATTGCGAAAATAAAAGGTTTCAGTCGTGAAGTGAAAATTGTAATTAAATGATCGGCATATCTAACAGTTTTCAGAAAGATGTCAAACGGTTCTTCAAACCGATTAGGATAAAAGACTTCAGGGTTCTGAAAAATGGTGCACATGTTTTTTTTCTTCAACATTTATTTGAATAGGTATCGGTTTGGTGTTTTTTAAGAATCACCAGGACCTGAATGAAGCACTCAAAAAGAAGGGCGAAATAGGTGGAAGGGCAGTCAAGATTGAAGAACATATTCAGGAAGAGAATGAAACGTCTTATGTACAAGAACCTGATCTACCTAAGTGGTTAGTTAAGACAGATGACGAAATAGTATCTGCAATATTAGAGGCAAGTTTTGCCATATTTTTATTGCATTCTAGACCGGCCGGTTATTTGTCCGTAATCTGTCTTATGCCTGCACTGAACAAGACCTTGAAAAGTTATTTTCTGTTCATGGTTAGTCCCTATTGAATCGGACTATTATATATTTCTAGGATCCCTATCAGACATTCACTTAGCTTTCGACCATTGGTCTCAAGTGTCCAAGGGGTTTGCGTTCATCACTTTCCTGTTCCCATCTGACGCTGTGAAAGCCTACAAATCACTAGATAAAACAAAGTTTATGGTGAGTAGTTCGGTATATTTATTATACTTGTTACATAATTTTAAAAATGCCTAAGCGTTGCTCGTTTTCTGAACATGATTCTTTTGCGATCGATTTCCACATGTATGGTAACAATATATCACTGCAGTTAACTTCCTCTGGAGTTTTGTAGATACAAAATATTGGAATATATATGATGGGTTTATAAAACTCTGTTCGTCAAAAATATCTGGTGCTTTACCAAAATCATAAATGGCTACCACTGACCTGCAATGTTTGCCAAATATTCAAGTTCTAACTTGCAGTGACCTTTCGAATGCATGCAATCTAGTAAATACATGTCAGCCAACTTAGAACCTGGTGTGTATGTACATCGGTTCACGTTACCATACCTCATTAGCACAGAGAGATAAAGTTGTCAGGCCAAATTCCAGTATAATACAGGTAGTCACAGTATCAGTGGTAATAGTAAAAGTTTAGGATGGAAGATACTTTTCGAAAAGAAGATATAAATTCGTGGAGCAAAAAACAAAGAGAGGGTGTAAGGAATTAAAAACCTCAGAATTCGAAGGAAGACAAAGAATGGTTGCGCGTGCGCCACTGCAAACGATTATCGGCCATGTTGTTCAAGGTCGCTAACCATTGGTCACGATAGTTACGCGGACCTCAACCGGGTAGTCTATGCCTACTAACATGGCTAAGTCCAATCGTCAATGACTTCAGTGACTGGTGCCATGTCTTGGTTTGGCCGCCCTTAGCTTTCGTCCAGCCTACTCGTGTATCAGAAAAATCATCGCTCGTCAAGACAGGTGGTGGTTGAGTATACGTAACACATCCAAACCACCTCAGCTGATGAATACCTACTACCTCATCAATCGACTTCCCATCCTTGTACCTAGTACTCTATTCCCAACTCAGACATTACTCACTCTGTAGTCGCAAAATACACGAGCAATGCTTCGTAGGCACCTACGGTTGAATATCAGTAACCTACGAATATCCGCTATTCTTAATGGTCATGTTTCACATCCAGAAAGTAGGACGGAGTGAACTGCTGCTCAGTAAAGTTGCCCTTTGGTTGGAAGATAGATATCTCACCTGCATTACAAGTGACGCAAGTTGGCAAAATCCAATCGAACCTTCAGAATCCATGTCGAGATTTCGTCAGATATCAGACCATCAATACTGATGAGACGATGCGTTTAGCTACTTCACTATCTATCATTAATTCAGGTGATGACGCAAGCCAAGTGTGAAGTAACATTTTCCATTTGGAGGAAGATAACCGCACCCCAAACATAGTTGGATTGTTGCTTAAGGTGGTCACAAGTCCTCATTTTTTCAGCATTTCATCAACAGAACTATATCATCTGTGTATTCTGAGTACTCGGTGTTGGTGTGAGGGTTAGTGGTATTAACCTTCCACCCAAACCAAAGTAGAACAGGTCTTGATCATTAACTGAACAATTTTACTACTAAACCGTTAATATAAGAAAAGAACTACGTAGGTATTTATACATGGTATGTCAAGTGCTTCCTGTCATTTAATTTATGATATGAACCAATGTTGCTTACTTTTTGTAAGGACCCAACGCAGAAGTAAATTTTCACTCTTTAGTAGCATAAAGTGCATCTTAAATGTTTTAGGAGTCCACAAGTAACTCAAGATACTATACAAATTTATATATGGTCTGTAATCCTAATTTTATTTGAATGTTATTGTGAGCACTGGAAGTCTCTTTACCTAGTTAATTTAGGTACTACAATATGTAAATTAATTTAATCTGGAACTTTGTGTTACTGACAATCCTATATTAGTCAAAATTAGTTGAATTTACAAAGTAAAGAGGCTTATGATGCGAAAAACTGCATAAATTGACGAGTCGCCAAGGTATGACTGAAATGCCATAGCATGTTCATAAATTTCAACAGGAAAATTTAACCGAAGAAATACAATTTTGAAGAACACTACTCTTGCAATTATTCAGATCGTTGGCTAAATAATCATATTTAATAATAAGAAATGTATCTAAACCATCATGGTTGTCACTTACATTCTAAGATACGTATTTTATGGTTAAAATACGGTTGTCTTGCTTATCGGTCTGTGTTGTATGTCGCTAAGTTACAAAATATTTAAACCCTCTGAAACAAAGTGCAACTGTTAGACTTCATTGAATTCATGTATTTCGGCTTTAGGCATTGAATTTAAATAAGTCGGTCAGTTTTCGTTTTTTTAGCTCTTATTTCAGTAGTAAGTTTGTCAGTCATTCAGTCGTCTCTCAAACTAATAATCTTTTCTGTAAATGTCCTAGTCAGTTTGGCTTTCCATCCTGATTCTGCTAGCGTTATAGTGTTTTCGAAAGTGTCAAGCCTACTATATTACTGAGTACAATTCTGCAGCTCAGCTGAAAACGTCTTCATTATCAATATAAACTCTGCTACAAATATGCATTGACTAAAGTTGCCATACTACATTGACGTAAGGTGAAATTATCAGAATAAGTAGCATAGGACTCGGAGTGACATTAATATCAGTAATTGGCAGTAGAACTAAACATTGAGAATGTTCAAAAAGAAGACATGTGCCGAAGAATATACCCCTTAAAATACAAGGGGGAAATGAGAAGTGAACGCTTCTCTACCAATGCGATCGGTTGTAAACCGTATCACCTGGCTTTCTCAATTCCTGATTGTATCTGCATCCTCCAGCAGTCGTTGATCTCGTGGATTGATATTACGTGGTGATTTGGTCTCCTACCAATGTCCATCCAACATTCCGAGTCGAAGTATGATGTGGTTGGGTATACATAACGTATATCCCAGCCAATTCGAACCCTAACAGTGTTATTTGGTATGTCTTAAGATTCCTGTAGCATGTGGATCATTTGACAGGCATTCCTTCTAAAACCCTACAATCACATTTAAAAGCATACAGGTTTTCGAAAATTGCTTTGTTGGTTTATCGTCTTCACTTTAGCTTCTCAAATAGTTTTTGTAAGTATTACTGTTTCCGAAATTTTCTACGAACACTTGTCCTTTAGCTACCAAGATCTACCATTATAATGGATTCCTCAACGGAAAATTGTTAAAGTAAGATTCTAACTCAATTACACTGAACGTAGGTTTCAGTAAACATTGGAAAAAGTAGAATGGCATACGATGTATTTTAAGCTAATTTTGAATCTTGCAGGATGAGGTCACAAATTAATTAAGAATGTAATGCTCATGCAGAGAGCAGTCAAATATGGAACTACAGATCTTGAGTTTGCGAGAAAGATGTTTGGGGAATCCTTCGATATCGCCAAGGTCAGGTGCAATCACTATCGTCTAGGTTATCCAACAGATCCAATTAGTAGTAGGAGCATCCGTTGTTTACATAACTTCCTAATCTCACGATTCTAGGAAGCACCTATATATATATATATATATATATATATATATATATATATATATATATATATATATATATATATATATTGGTAGGTTAATTTATTGAAATTAATTTACTAGTATTTTCATTATCTTGTGTTAAAAGAACTTACAGAATTTTTTTAGTGGTGGTTTTCCACTGTAAATCGTATGAAACCAATTGACTCATGATCTTAACCATTGAAATTACTACAATCCACAAAAAGCCATCTGATATGAAACCATAATACTTTAGTATGTTTAACTTTCTCATGTGGTTTGAGAACCAGACTTCTGATAATGAATTAAGCTTACGACCTATAATATAAATTTACTCCAACCATTTAATAACCACTAATCTTTGCACTTCATTTTTACCTGGTGTGTTTGTAGGACAATTATTTAACAAGTTTTCATTATGATAAACATGTAATTGTTAACTAACTAGTTATTCTAAAATTACGTATGTATCTCACTATTCGATGTTTGTCAGTCTCAATGGAGTATTGTTAACTGTGTTTTAAATTATTGTTATATTTTTACATCTAGGACAGGCTAATTCACATCCTCCCTGGTCAAGAAAACACAGAACCTAAGGACTCATTTAGAAAGCCTCTAAACAATTTTTATAGAAATGAGAATTTCGCTGATCCACCAAAGATGCTTCTATCAAGCTTTCAAAACGATCGATTTCAAGAATTGAAAAAGGATTCAAGCGTTGGACATAATTGGAATGCTTTATTTATTCGTCCAGATGCTGTTGCTACATATTTAGCTGCGAAATTCGGTTTGACTATGGTAAAAGCTTTATTTTGATGAGTAATAGCTTTCAAATAATTTCTGAACTCTACGGCGATTATCAGAATACAAAGTACCATTCTCAATCAATGAATTCAGTATAAATCGTTCGATTTATTAGTGAATGCTAGTTTGAATTTACCCCTCTACGCCTAAAGTTTTCAGTACTTCTTAACCGTTCACTTATTCATGGTATTGTTATTTATTCAACAGGGAATTGACAATGCTGGATACAAAAGAAAAGATAACTGAAGATTTATTTGACACCAAAAATCGATCGAGAACTATTTATGAATACGCTGATTTTTGTGCGATTTTTCAGATCTATTAATAGTCACATATTGAACAAATTATACAAAGTAGCGCTTGATATTAATTAATAAACAATTTGAGTGTATGAAGACAATTTATGTCATAAAATTCAACTGTTATAATCAACAAATTTAACTAATGTAATGAGCTATTTAATTGTTCTACACTGATTGTAAAGTCCTTTAGGAAATACGAGAAATGTAAAGTGTATAAACGAGCCAGGCAGATTAAGAATAGTGATTATTCCATCTTATCGCGTATTTCAAAATCCAATTACTAACAACTTTGAAGTTGTAATAAGCTATGTAACAATACAACAAAATGTATGAATGTTTTGCTATTTAGGTGCTGAAAGCTGACAAACATAACAAGATTAAAGACTAGGAATTGATCTACTCGATTTTTAGAACTGTAGAGGAAGATTTACTGGTTTTTCAGGAGAAAAAACAATACAAACCAATATACCTAAAATACACAACATACAGGATTTTTGAAGTAAACTAAATGTTTTCACTGTGAGATCACTTTATTAAAAAACATTAAAGTTTAAGATTGTGCATCGTGAATATTTGTTCAAGTTTTGTTAATTTATGTGGTTATAAAGGAGGAATGTTTTGTAGCCAAACTTGTAACCTTAACCCCTTCATCTTAGCTGATGTCAGTTTGGTATGAACACCCTAACTTTTCTTCCTTTACTGTAAGTGGTTATTTGAATGAAAAAGTTGACTACTCATGTCAAAACTCGTGATCTGTCGTAATTTTATCATTTTTTGCTTTAAATTCTTTTATAAATAAAAACTCCCTATTTGACTGACCAAAACATCGCTCAAGGTCGACCATATGCTTTACTTCTGTCGAAAATACATTAGTTAATGATTCATTTTCTACAGTTTAGCATATGTTGAGCTACTTAAACTGGTGATCACATTATGACTTGAATTCAATCAGCACTAAAGGGCTAAACAAAGGTAGCATTGGTCACAACTCAGCGATCAATCAACTGTAGATATCTCAGTCGAGGTGCTAGTAACTCAGTCGTAACTCTTCCGACTGAAAACTTGGGTGATCCTGATTCGAACTTCACATGGAACATAAGTTCTTTGAGTATATCAAGAACGCCTTAATGAAGAGTGCGAACCAGCACAAAACGCGGGTTCGGCGTTCCGTGCTGATTATCCCCGAGCACCTAATAAATTTGCATGGCTACTTAATACTTTTCAACGGATGTAATTTTTGTTATATTCACACTCTGATATTGTAATCCTACTTCTGTGCACATTAATTCCCCAAAAGACCACACTTGTCATTCTATATCAAACACTAACATGAATTTGTTATTTATTCTTCTTTTAAGGAACAAGTTTTAGATCCATCAGGAAATAAGTCAGTTGCTGTACGATTGGCACATGGTGAGACACAGTTAGTTGCTGAAATGAAAGAATTTTTAAAAACTCATGGTGTACGATTGGAAGCTTTCGAAAAGCACAATGATGAGACTGAGGTGAAAGAAACAGAAGATAATTCCGTTGTTGTTCACGAAACATCAGGTCAACGTAGTCGTTTAGAATCAAAGTCAAGATCAACTATTCGTCAATTATCAGGAACTGCATTTTTAATAAAAAATCTACCAGCTGGAACAACTGAGTTTGAAGTTCGAGATTTGCTTAAACGGTATACAAAAAGCTCTGTAACTGTTGATGCTAACACTCCTTCAATTCGTTCCGGATTAAAACGTGTTCTAGTACCCCCTTTAGGCATTACTGCTATTGTAGAATATGCCCATTCTCAACAAGCTCGGTTGATGTACAAAGCACTTGCATATGAACCGGTATGTTATTTTTTAATTAACTTACGCCTTTTATCTCTTTTGGAGAAGCATAGGCCACCCACCAGGATTCTCCATTGAACTCTTTCTTCGACAATCCCTTCCAGTTGTTTCCTCTGTAGTTCTCACACTTGCTGATATCTCCTTTCTTTGTTATCCTAATGAGGTGTCCTTCTTTCCAGTATGTCGGGACTCGTTCCTCCTCCTAAATCTTCCTGAATAGGATGTAGAGCATATTTGCAGTTACTTCTATGTCTGACTCCAGTGCTTGAGTTGGTGCGTTGTTTGGTCCTACTACTTTACTACTGTTGATTTGTCTGTTTCGACTGTTTATAGAGTGATGTATTGGGAGGTTTGTGTGTGTTGTTTCGATATATGGGGGGGGGTCACTGGGGATGGTCTATTCAAGAGTTCTTCAAAGTGCTCTACCCACTTGTTCCACTGTTCTTGAATCTCAGTGATTAATTAGCCTTCTTTGATTCTGATTGATCTCTGGTTTACCATATTTCCCTACCAGTTTCTTCGTTGTATCATATATTTGTCTGGGATGTTCTTCTCTTGAATCTTTTTCTACTGTCATTTCTTGGTGTCCCACTTATTTCTGCTTGTCGGCTCTAATTCTCCCCATCACTCTATTGTTTTTTCTGCGTATGTTGCCTGTGATTTTACTCCATCTGCTCTTGTTTCAGTTGTTGTTAATTGCTGTCTCCTTGTTGTTCCTGTCTTGAAGACTGACCAGGATATCGATAAAGATCCATTCTTTATGAAGGTGTTTCTTGTGGCTCTCAGCATATGTTACTTTGAAATTAGTGCTTCTTTGATACCTTCCCATTTGTTCCCCATAGTAGCTTCTTCTTCTCTGAGCAGATCTTGTAAGATTTGGAAGCTGTTGATGAAAGCTATTTTGAATTCTTCGAGTTCGTCAGTATCTCAGAAGAAGGCTGTATTGAACCTCTTTAATGTTGTTTCTCTAGTTGTCCGGTGTTTCTCTACCTTCGAGTTCATCTTGGCAACCACCAAATTGTGATCTGAAGTGATGTCAGCTTCTCTCTTGGTTCTCACGTCTTCCATTGACCTACTGGATTTTTTGTTGATACAAATATTATCAATTTATATGTGAAAATTATATTTGAAATATTCTCAGCGATTGAAATTTAACTAATTCCAACGTTTCGTCCAGCTAACTTGTCTGGACTTCTTCAGGGTAATAATCAAAATCAAAATTATCAAAGAAATATATAGCTTTTAACAATCAGGATTATACTGTGTTAAACCAATCATATTTGGGTGTTGATTTTTTGTAAAATAGGATAAAATGAGTCAGTTGACTACAAATCATGTGATGAATTCAACTACATGGAAATACTTAACTGAGTAACAAATCGTATGTGTGTGAGTGTGTATGTATGTGTGAGAGATTGATATGAAGGAATAAATAAAGTTCAAGTTCAAGGATGGAAAACTTGATAATGAAAGATCGATGTGCATGTCAAAACATAAATTGTATTGTTTAAAAACTCATTCAGTTCTTTCAATAATAATTATCAATTTAGTTCTGTGTAGTGTGATCAGGTTAAACACATAGCTTTTTGTATGGGTTTGTGGGGGGAATATAGTGTCACGTATAGCCACTTAGTTCAATCCATTCCCTCATTTGCACAGCTGTTTATTTGATCCTCCCAGTCTCCTACACTGTCCGGATACTCCGTGTACCTATATGAATTGTTGCTCTAGTTGTTAGAAAGGGCATCGACCTTGTGGCTTCCAAAGAATCACGGATTTCACCATGAGGCTTCACAGTTCTTCGAAATGAAGATCTTTCAACTCGGAGGGTAGAGCTTTAATGATTCAAGTAGTTTTTTTCTGTTTAGCGTTTTTTAGCAAGGTTTTTTTTGCGGGATGCTGTTGCTGATCTTATTTTCAACCCTCTTCGTTTATCTGGGCTTGAAACCTGGAGTAACCCTAGATGGGCTACAGAGGGAGTTCATATATATATATATATTTATATATCAGTGGCTATGCATATAAATCGGTTCAGCTCACAAACTTCCTTTTCCATTCTTAGTTTTTTCACTCGATTCACAGGTGGTTGGTGGCTTGCTTGTAGGAAGTTTATGTATCAGTATCGATCTCAGACGCCTCGCGTTATTACATTAACCATTTAATTGCAAACTTTCTGGACTACCAAACTTTGCACCACAATACCTGACAGTTACTACCTGAATCTTTTTGCACTAACTAATGTAGTTGAGTCTTTTAAGTACTTTGGTGGCCGATCAGAATTTTTGTAAAGTGAGAAAGTTATTAGTTAGAATAACCCAGGTTGATCAATTCCCCTGTTTTATACAAGTAACGCATTTATCAATTGAAGTTTTAGGTGTGCTATGATGTGTCAAGTCTGATTCAGATACAAACTCTTTCTTCACGCTTGTCAACCTAGCGACAAAAGTGAGAAGACTGAGGAATTGCTATTAGTTTATAACTGACAAAACCGAATGAGTGGGTACACAAATCATTAATTTATATACATTTGTCCTTACCAAGAAAATAACACAAGCTAAGATCTTGTATGGGAGTTTAATCAATTTCCTATCATAGTGTATCTCACTTATAATTTCCCAACCACTGTTTGGTCCTGAGATGTCATATAAACTCAGGTACATAATATACCTAGATTTACCTAGTCTGCTAGTATACTCAGACGTGAACCACACTGTTTATGTAATGATTAGCAATACTACTACTCAGCAATCCAAAGCAATTTAGGTGGAATTCGAATTTGAACGTGAGACAAATTATTGATTGGAAGTCGATTACTAAACCACTTTTCTTTTATATAGTAGAATTTTTGATAAAGGTCTTGATCTGAATATCGAAGCAGAAAAATATTGATTTAATACTGGATAGTTCATAACATTTACAAAACCCCTTCGTAAGCGACAGTTTTATTGACTTCATTCCGTAGGTAACTTTTTTCACAAAGTCCAGTCATACCGGGTGCTGAAGAATTAGAAGTAAACGTAATGATCACTCATCATTTGGAAGTAATATATTTAAGTTCACATAATTATTTTTTTTCTATCAGTTAGATCATTTTCAGTTTTCTGACAGAAGTTGTAGAACTTTTAGATAATTCCACGTAAATTTCACTTTATATTCCCCTTTTTAGTTTAGAGATAGTGTTCTGTTTCTACAGTGGTTACCAGATGGGGCTCTGAAATCATCCACTCCTGATGATAATGAATATGAGGAAATAAAATCCGAAGAAGCTTCCACACATAAGCTGAAAAGGACGAAACACGAGAAATCATCTGTTGATAAGGTTAAAAAAATTGAGTGAGTTGTTTTTTGTTGATTGACGTGCTGCATATATAAGATATATAAATGAATTTCTGAACTCAATTTTTTTCAAGAATCAGTCAAGGTGTTATACTGCCAAATGTCGAATTGCAGGTTCAGTCCTGCCGTCACCTAATTAATTCTGACAGTAGTAGTAGTACTAACCCTCGTAAAACTGAAGCTTGTCCCGAATCCGTGTACACAAAGCTTCGTATTGAAAATAAGTCAGTTAAATTCGTATCAATTATGTAAGGGGTTTTTGGAAATGATTGAATTTTACAGGTTATATCACGAAGTGACATTAGAAAACTGTCGAAAAATTGAAAGCACTGGCTATCTTTTTGTCCTAGTATGGGCCTCACCAGACACAGTTGTCACCCGCCGGAGATCGAACTCAACACCTTTAGGTCTCGCAGTGAGCGCCTACAAAGTTTGCATCCAGTGACTTACGTTTTTGACCTCAGTTAATTCGTTATATTGCGTATCCATTTTCCAAAATTGTTACATAGTAATTGCTTCACTTTGGAAATGGGTGAACTCCAATAGTCAAGGCATCTTACTAGAGGTCTAATGCACTGTGCTGAGGAGTTCCATACTACGACGAAACACCTGTCCAGTGCTTTCTGTTTTTCAGTAGTTGTTTAGCTACGGTCAGTTTATGATTTAAACTACACTGTTATCATTTATTTATTTTTACCAATCGACATCATAATGTTGATCAAGTTTTCCATTTCATTTCCTCATCCTAGGCAATCTGACGATGAATTTGAACTGATCACATCCATTCCAACTGGTAAACGCAAGTTCAGAGATGATCATGATGATGAAGATACAGTAGCAGTTATGGATCACTCATCTCATCATGACAATGAAAACATTTCATATCAAATATCAAAATCTCAACGAGTTAAAAAATATTTAAATAAAAAACAAAAGATTGAACAAATAGCTAACAATAAATCAAGTGAATTGGAACTAATCGACAAATTTATGAGACATAAAAGTAAAAAAGTTAAATTCACTAACGATGTTAACGTTGAATGTGTCAATCAACTACACTCAAATAATGAAAATAGGATAAATAAATGTGATACTACTACTAATATTAACGAACAACACAAAGAGGAAATTAATATTAAAAAATCAATACCATCAAAACAGTTGAAAAAGAACAAAATTTTAATTGTGCGTAATATTCCATTTCAAGCTACACAAAAAGAATTGATTGAGTTATTTCAACCTATTGGTGGTCTTGTCAATGTTCGATTACCAAAAAAACCAACTAGCGGACATCGTGGATTTGCATTCGTTGAATTCGACACAATGGACAAAGCAAAAGTTAGTAGATCGGAGGTGGTGGTTGTTAGATTCTCTGGATATCATGAATTAATCTTAGTTCAATATACATTGGAAACGAAGAAGCGGTGAACAGTTGTTTTGTCCTAGGATATGACTACTTAACAGCGCGCATCCACCCATCCCATTGGGAATAGAACCTAGAACCTTCAATCTCTCACGGAAACCCTTAACATCTAGACTACTGAGCCGAGATCCAATAGTTTATATGTCTAACTTCAACCAGTTTAATGTTAGTTAAATAAAACCTAAGAGAGGTAGTAGCAACGCTATGCATGTATCTCAAACTAATGTGTGGGAGTTGTTTAGAATACCTTGGTTCCAAATTTTACTCCAACTATGATTTTCTTCTAGTACGTAGTATTCCTTAAGCGTCATACTTTAATGGATTCGGTCCAATTCAGAACAAGAACTGAGAGCGAACAGTGCTTGCTCCAATAATTCCAAGCAACAAAAATGCTATAGTAAAAGGGTAGATTTTATATACAATTGGAACAAAAATCTAGCATTTTCTCGATTCGCCTAGTAGCACTAATCAGTGCACTTTGGTTCAAGTCTAATCAGATCTGCAATAGTCAGGGCTCTGTCTTCCTCAGAACTGATATTACTATCATGAAATTGTTAAGTACGAGCGTATAAGTGGAAAACAGAACTACAAAGGTTATTCTGTGATGCATTATTGTATGTATGCCGATTGCGTGTTTGATAAATATTTGGTTTATGATATTTTTATATTGCCCTAATTGTATGCTCTCAGTTAACTGATTGGTATTTATTTATTTAAAAACAAAAATTGGTACAAGGAGGCACCTAATATATATGCGCCACACTTCGTCATTCGATTTGTGTCAGGGCTGGAATACTTCCCTGGCACCCAAATGGAAGCAAGTAATTTCCTTATAGGACCAGACCCTGAACCTTTGACTTAGAGGTCTTATCCACAAGGCAGTGGAGCAACGTTAGGAGATGCAGTCCCATGGTAGTCGGTGACCAACAGTATGTTCATACGCCATCTGTTTCCTTAGGATCCTGGAGCCCATGTTCACCACTGGTTTAGAATCAGGGTTTTCCCATTGTCCTAGGTGGATCCTCCATATCCACTAACCTGGTTAATGTACTGGACATTCGCTTTTCATCCTCTCCCTTTCATAAACAACACCTTGACCACGAGAAGCCAGTGAGTAGGACTACTCTGGCAGTGGTTGTATACTCGTTACCATGTGAGAGCATTTCGAGAGGGAGAGCTGGCTCTCCCACCCTGGGTCGTACCAGGGTATCAGGGGGCAGTGTCAATGTGGTTTGCCACTCACAAAGAGCTGATAAATTATCCCTCTTACTCAGTTTGTATCACGAATGACCCAGTCACGTATAAATTGCTGCTACTTATTTGTAGTGCGTTGTCTTGTAATTGGTGTATGGTATAATGGGAGTTTTTTTTAGTCATAATAACATACAGTGAGTAAATCAGTTTATTTTGGTCGTTTCTTGATTGAATACGCTGAGGGAGTAGAGAGTTGCTTCTGTTTATCAGTGCCACCATACTTAATTACCATGTTAATAAAGCTAGGGTCACCAGTATAGTTAGAGTAAAGCGGACTTATCACTAGTGAACACATTCATTTATTAATCTTATTCAATACCCATATTAAAGTTGAATTTATAACAGAACTAACTTAAACAAGAAGATCCTTAGCAACCAGGTAGCAGCTGTTTTGTCCTATCATGAAACTCCTTGATACGACCAAGCGAAAGGTCAACCTCATGTTCTCCATTAGGTCTTGTAGTAAGTGCGCAGTAAAAGTAAAGTATTCCTCAATGATTAACTTATTTGTTCATGTGGAACATATTATCAATCAACTAGATTATATTATGATACGATGTCATCTGTTTGTCCCTTTATTTAGATTGCATTGGAGACATTGGGCGTAGCTACACATTTATTAGGTCGTCGTTTACTCATGGAATATGCACAAATGTAAAAATTATTGCAACATGTAATGGAATTTCTATTTTTGTAAATAATAATTCATTCAAATGAACTTATTTGTCGGTTACAGAACGTTTATTACAGCAGAAATACGGTTTTGCTTTTTTTCTCGTTTGTTTATTTTACTGTAGCTTGGTGTAATGTATAATGTATGCGAATGAGTTTAAATGTGAAAATATTTCAAAATAACAGTTTCTAATAGTAATCACTGTATTTAGATCAACAACAGGTTTATAAATCGTGTTTAACTCATTATTTTGTTACCTACTGTATATATACTGTAAATAAATAAGCAATTCAGTTTGTACTTGAAAAATAACCATACTTTACATAAAAAATCTTAAAAATTTCTACCTCATATCTGATAAACAAATAAATGGACATGTAAACTCTTGGAATTCATTTTTATCCAATTAAAATCAGCACTGGTAAACAGTGAAACCCAAAAAGCATTAAACAGCTATTTCATCCCAGATTTTTTTGTCGGACTTATCAGTAATGGGCGCTTTTACGCTAAAAATACAATTGAATCCTGAACAACCATGTATGATGAGCTCATTTTACCCAGACCTATCGATATCAAAATCCGTACGTTCACATCCCCAACAACAGTCAATTCATGATAAATAGAGATAATCACTCAATACTATTAATGAATAGCTGTCTTATTTCTCTTTCGAGATGGTCAAACTCTACCGATCGCACTTTTTCACTACAATTTTGAGAACTGTCCTTCGAGTATCTGGAGACTACACTACTACTTCCTGCGTCCGCGCTGGCGTGGGTATGAGTTCGAGAGCTGGACAGAGTATGTTAGACTGGTTCCCAACAGACAATCGCTTGTGCTTTATCTTAATAAACAGAACTGTGAAAACTCAAAATTATAGGGGCGCACCGTTTCATTTTCGTTGTTTCTGCCTACGTTCCCACTGCAGCTCAATTGAAGTTAAAGATAAATTTTATGGGAAACTATCCAACCTCCTTTAAAAAGCTGAACTCTCTGATGTAGTGATAGTGGCGTGTAATTTCGGTGTTCGAATAGGTAAACTAAATCAAACTGAAAGGCATTTGGGCGGTTACTACGGTGTTGATGTTCAGCGAACAGATAATGGTGACCGTCTGTTACAACGATGCTCAAATAATCGTCTATTTCTGGTAAACACCAACTTTAAACATAGGGAGAAACATCGTCTGACGTAGCGACCATCGACTGATCGATGGACTCAAATAGATAACATTGCGTCTAGCCATCATTGGACGGCCTCACTAGAAGACTGTCTCACTAAGGATCACGTGTGTAGACTCTGACAATGCTCTAGTTCGAGCACATAATTGTTTGCGTCTTACAGGCCATAGAAAAACCACAGCAGCGAAACCTCTTAGAAATCAACTTGATGAAAAAGTTGGAAATATATTTCAGGAACTACTAGAGGAGTTACCCGTAGAAGTGATACTTATCCTATAATAGCTTGATACGATATCCAAAAACTTTTGGAAATAGCAGTGATAACAACTACTAACTTGGACCAAAAGGCTAAGAAAAAATCTGCAAATTTCAGCGGCGTCTACAAAACTGATAGGTGCTCGAAAACTCATCTCTCCTGGCTGCTGAACACGAGGAGTGGAGGCAATTCGAGCGTAGGCTAACAAAAAGCCTACGTAATAATCGTGAGCCTTCAGCCATAGTTCAGTTGCTTATTATCTCCAAGCTACATGAATGGCAAACTGATGCACGTCCTCCAACTCTTAGTGAGATTGTAAAGGCTATAAGTAAACTTATGTGAGGGAGAGTACCACGGCCTGATGGACTAGTCCCTGAGATTTTTGAGGATGGTAGCCCAGTTTTAGCAGTCAGATTAACTGAAATCTTAGTTAAAATCTCTGGACTGGACGTAACCCATCTGAGTGGTCTCGATCGCTGATCATCCCAGTTTATAAAACAGAACAAACACCCTTTTACGACAATCACAGAGCAATACGTCCAAATAATATAGTGACTAGAATATTAGTCTCACCAATACTTCGACGTCTAACCAGAGCTCGTGAAGCGCGAACTCAAGAAAACCAGGCTAGTTTCAGACCTCGATGTGAATGTATAGATCAAATATTCACTCTTCGTCAGATTCTGGAAGATAGACATACTTTTCGACGTCCTTCTATGGTTGTATTCCTTGACATTAAGGTGGTGTTCGACTCCATTGGTCGTGAGGTTCTGTGGTAGTCTCATTGAAAGGCATACCAAATAAGTTCATTAACCTTATAAATGCCCTCTACTCGAACACTACTGGTCGAGTCAGAGTGCACAGCGAATAGTCACCGAAACTGGGCACTTCAAGTGGTGTTCATTAGGGTTATCCGCTCTCTCTACTTTTATTTAACTTGGTCATAAACATGCCTTTACAGAGAACACTTTCAGGAATTGATCTTCTACCAGGAGATTAACTTGTTGAATCAGAATGCACAGATGATATAGTTCTGTTGATGAAATGCTGAAAAAATGAGGACTTGTGACCACCTTAAGCAACAATCCAACTATGTTTGGGGTGCGGTTATCTTCCTCCAAATGGAAAATGTTACTTCACACTTGGCTTGCGTCATCACCTGAATTAATGATAGATAGTGAAGTAGCTAAACGCATCGTCTCATCAGTATTGATGGTCTGATATCTGACGAAATCTCGACATGGATTCTGAAGGTTCGATTGGATTTTGCCAACTTGCGTCACTTGTAGTGCAGGTGAGATATCTATCTTCCAACCAAAGGGCAACTTTACTGAGCAGCAGTTCACTCCGTCCTACTTTCTGGATGTGAAACATGACCATTAAGAATAGCGGATATTCGTAGGTTACTGATATTCAACCGTAGGTGCCTACGAAGCATTGCTCGTGTATTTTGCGACTACAGAGTGAGTAATGTCTGAGTTGGGAATAGAGTACTAGGTACAAGGATGGGAAGTCGATTGATGAGGTAGTAGGTATTCATCAGCTGAGGTGGTTTGGATGTGTTACGTATACTCAACCACCACCTGTCTTGACGAGCGATGATTTTTCTGATACACGAGTAGGCTGGACGAAAGCTAAGGGCGGCCAAACCAAGACATGGCACCAGTCACTGAAGTCATTGACGATTGGACTTAGCCATGTTAGTAGGCATAGACTACCCGGTTGAGGTCCGCGTAACTATCGTGACCAATGGTTAGCGACCTTGAACAACATGGCCGATAATCGTTTGCAGTGGCGCACGCGCAACCATTCTTTGTCTTCCTTCGAATTCTGAGGTTTTTAATTCCTTACACCCTCTCTTTGTTTTTTGCTCCACGAATTTATATCTTCTTTTCGAAAAGTATCTTCCATCCTAAACTTTTACTATTACCACTGATACTGTGACTACCTGTATTATACTGGAATTTGGCCTGACAACTTTATCTCTCTGTGCTAATGAGGTATGGTAACGTGAACCGATGTACATACACACCAGGTTGTAAGTTGTTGCTGACTGACTGAACGGCTGTCTGTAAAGTTAATAACTAACAAGCTTATGATTGTGATTATCCTATTGATTTGCGTTAGAATGCGTGGTTGTATGAATAAACCCTAGTTTAGTTTATGCAAACGTTTAATTGTTTGTAGTCATGCATAAATTTTTCTATCTGATTTATTTTGTCGTTTGTTTAAAAACTAGTTTCAATAATAGCCGTTATACTTGGAATATGGCTCATAGCTCAATACACGAATTTATATCTGATAAATGAGCTGAATGTAATGAAAAAATATGGTAAGTGAATTTCATCGCTGATCAACTCGTATAATTCTTGCTGTCTTTTACATAGTCTTTTGAAGTATAAAAGTCTTTCTTGTAACCATTTACAATACACCTGTGAAGATTCAAGTTAGTAAGGTCGCTCAATCCAGAAAATACATACATACATACTACTACTACTACTACTACTAGCAATTTATGCCCCACTGATAAATAAGTAACATTATCTTCTTTCTAATAATCTTCTATAATAATGTAAAAATTCCTCACAACTATAAATCATACAAACTATTTCAGAGTTATAAATATTATTTAGCTGCAAAATCACTTACGGTCTAATGTTCAAATTAATAGTTTTCACACCATAACACGTCTTGTAGTTTTAAACACAAACTATCAAACTTTAGAAGAAAATTCAACTCAGTGTATACAATAGAAATGGTTTATTACAGCTTCTAAGAAAAACAAAATGGTGGTGTGTTTTTTTGTTTCTTCTTCTTCTTCTTCTTCTTCTTCTTCTTCTTTACATCATTAATCAAAATATCATAGAATCAGTTGGAGTTATTCAAATAGTTTTTTTTTCTATGTAAATTCAATGAAATAACAATATTATCATTTACATTTAATGTTAAAACTATCCCTCGGACAAATCTTATATTTTTTTTTATGACTTAAGTTAAAAATAAACCTGTTTCAGAAATGCATAGTATATTTATGTATGTTATACAGACTAATTGATTTAGATATTAAATCTAGTCAACATATAATATACTCATGTAATAGTAAATGTTATTTTACCTTTATCATTCATTTATCTATAATATTCCATTAAGAATAAAAGATTGTCTTGCTGAAAATCTTTATTTATAAATTTCACTTATGATTTATGGATAACTTTTTTTTCTTTCTGCTCACTTTTTCATTATTTTATTTAAACCAATTGAAATTTCATATGTTGGAGGTGGTGTATCCGATCTCTGATTAAATGTTGTTAATGATATTGGTAATGAATGATTCAAGTTGTCATGGTTATGAGTATCATAATTATCAACATAATATTGATTATTATTATTATTATTATTATTATTATTATTATTATTATCATTGGAATTGTGTTTATCTGGATCTTCTTTTAATACTAAATTTAATTGTTTCTTTAAACAATATTTATCAATATTATTAAATTTTAGTAATGAATTCAATTTAGTATTTTGATTGAAATTGAAATTTCTTTTTATATAACATTGAGGTGTTTTAATAAAAGAGAAATTTATTTGATTCTGATCAATTTCATGTGAATTCTTTTCAATATTCATATAAATTGGATCTGAAATTGATTTATTTACATAAAGAAGATAAGGCCAATCTGTAATTGGTTTTTTATATTGTATTGGATAAACAAATTGTTGATTAGATAATGTACTATGGTGATAATAAGATTTTATTGTTTTAATACTATTTGAATGATTAATTGTTTTTGATAGATTTGTATTTATCATTTGACAAGTAGAAATATTTTTAGATTTTTTTATTTTTTTATGTTTATCACTTGTACAAAAAAATAGAATTACTCCACTTAATGAAAGTATCATTATAAGGAAAGCTATTGTTAATATAATAAATAATATTAAAAATTCATTATTATGATGATTTAGTCGATTTTCACTTATTGAATTATTTACATCTTTATCATATTGACAATCATCAGTAGAATAATGATAATTATTTTGTGTTTTATTTGATTTACGCATTTCACAATGTTTTCCTTCCCATCCAGATGAACATAAACATTTATATGATCCTAAAAGATCACGGCAACCAGCATTATTTTGACATAATGAACGACCAGTTTGTTTTGGTATTTCAGAGCATTCATTAATATTCTCTCGACATGTTCTACCTTTCCATCCTTTTAAACAATGACATTGAAAACTGACTGATTCATCTAAACATTCTCCACCATTAGAGCATGAATTATTTTGACATGCTTTTAATGTAAATTGACATTGTGGACCAGTGAAACGAGGTGGACATATACATTGATAACCGGTTATCAAATCAACACACTGACCACCTAAATGTTTTTAAAAAATGTCAGTTGTTAAATTGTGACTCATATCATTGAAATTGGATAGTGGCTAGCAGTGGAATCCACGACTTATATTACGTCCTATTTAGAATGTACCTCCAACCTAGTGTTGATACTCACATTGAGACTCAAACCCAATACCTTACACTCCAAAATCTTTTGCGTTTTATATTGAACTATTGAATCCAGATAGCCACTAGCTTACGAATTGAGTATGAATATTCTTTTTAATGGTTTATATTTTCCAATTGTCTCTGTTATGGATTAAAACTGAGTTTCAATATGAATATCAACATCGAGGTGCAGGCATATCCAACTGACTTGTCCTAAACAAGAGAAAATGTTTGTCCCGGATACCACTGTTAACCACTACTCAACTTTAATAAAGAGTCATATCAGATAGTAAATTAAAGCTCTAGCGAGGTTACAATTTAAATTATTGGATAGAAAGTTGAAATTGACTGCAGTCTTAGTATTATTATCTGGAACTCATTATTAACCAACCGACCAGTCGAAAATATGATTATACTTAAATACGTAATGTGTCTAATCAACAAGTAAATTAAATTCATACAAACCTAATTTTATGCAATCAATTTTGAAATTGATCCGCAGTTGTGCCAATGCACATGCTTCATCTTCATTTAGATTATTCTAAATATCAGAATGGGTTTTGTGGAGAGTTTTAGAAATTTCACAAGTTGAAATCATGAGTCAGTTGAAGCTAGACCACCATTGAAAACCTGGAAGCACTGGACGGCCGTTTCGTCCTGGTATGGGACTCCTCAGCAGTGCGCATCCACGATCCCGCACCACGCGGGGCTCGAACCCAGGACCTACTGGCTTCGCGCCGGCTCAGTGGTCTAGTGGTTAAGTGCTCGCGCGCGAAGCCAGTAGGTCCTGGGTTCGAGCCCCGCGTGGTGCGGGATCGTGGATGCGCACTGCTGAGGAGTCCCATACCAGGACGAAACGGCCGTCCAGTGCTTCCAGGTTTTCAATGGTGGTCTAGCTTCAACTGACTCATGATTTCAACTTGTGAGATATTCTAAATATCCCTGAAAATTCTCACAAGTCATACTCTTCAACTGTTTTTTGTTTTATTTTTTATCGTCTTCATATTAGCTTCAGTGTAATTAGTAATTGAACAAAGACAAGCTAATAAGTTCAATATTAATTAAAATGGTGCATACTTGATTGCAGTCGAAAAAGTTGCTTTCTTAGTTATGCTTATATTTAACAAAAGTAGTAGCTTAGTTCTTTTATCTACCGAACAGATCATGTTAATTGTGTTGCTTTATCTTTCTTAAACTGGGATTTATGAGCTGATTTTTAATGTATGGAGTAATAATAATGTTATCTGGACCTGATTCAATAGATAAGTATCAACTTTCCAATCCATAGATTCGTTCTTCCAAAAGCAAAATACTTTTTTTTTAAAAACAATAAGATCAAATAATTTGATTTCTCATTTGTTATCATATTTTCTTAATCAACGCATAAAATATTGCTTGTTCACTTTCATTCAACAGATGTAAGGAGAAATCCAGTAAGAATGATCAAATTCACTGTCATTAAATACTAGACTGTTTTTAGAACAACTTATTGATCAAATACTTTTTATATAGACTGTTAATAATTCGTGCCGCAAGTTTATTTACAGAATACATATTTGGTAAATTAAGTCCATTGGTTACTTAATCAATCACAAAACACCAGACCAAACAACATACCAATTGAAGCACTGAAGTCAGACATAAAAGTATCTGTAATGATGCTCCACACTCTACTTAGAAAGATTTGGGAGAAAGAACAAGTGCCAAAAGTCTGGAAAGAAGGTAACCTCGTCAAGATGCTAAAGACAAGAGATCTGAGTAAGTTTGAGAGCTGCACAGGTATCACACTACTACCGGTACCAGGAAGAGTTTATAACTGTGTTGTGGAACCTACTGGAAGATTCAATAGACGCCCAAGCCTGGATTCCAAAAGGATCGGTCGTGCACAGGCCAAATCGCGACACTACAGATCATCGTTGAATTATCAGTTGAATGGAACTCGTCACTATACACCAACTTCCTTGACTATGACAATGCATTTGACAATTTGGATAGGAAAGCCTTATGGGACCTTCAACACTATGGAGTACCTGAAAAGATGGTCAAAATCATACGGAATTCACATAACGAACTACACTGCAAGGTCGTGCATGGAAGACAGCTGACAGATGCATTCCATGTGACTACCGAGGTCAGACAAGGATGCGCGTCCACTCTTTCTACTGGTGTTTGACTGGGTTATGATGACCTCTACATTTCAGGGAAGTACGAAATACAATCAAAGGCTTGTGTGTAGCCAGACGACTTGGATTATGTAGATGACTTAGTTCTTCTAGCCAATATACACCAAAAAATGTAAGCCAAGATAGCCAATATAGTAGCAGCCTCGGTATCAGTAGGCCTCAATATGCACAAGAGAGAAAGAAAGATCCTCAAATACAGTACGGAGAACACCGACCTAATTGCACTTGATGGAGAAGCACTGGAAGTGATGAAAACTTTCACGTACCTGGGGAGCATTATCGATGAACAAGGAGGATCTGATGCAGACGTAAAGGCAAGGATCATCAAATCATGGACACCATTTCAACAGCTGAAGAACATATGAGATTTAAAACAACTGTCTGCCAGCCAATATAAAGTCACAATCTTCAATATGAATGTCAAGATAGTTCTACTTTACGGAGCTGAAACTTGGAGAACTATTACAACCGTTATAAAAAAACTACAAGTATTTATAAACAATTGTCTACACAAGATACTCAGTGTCCATTGGCCGGATACCATCAGCAACAGCCTAATGTGGAAGAGAACAAACCAACTTCTGGCTGAAGAGGAAATTAGGAAAAGACTCTGGAGATGGATGCGAAATATATTATAGAAATCATCAAACTACATCACGAGGCAAGCCCTAACTTGGAATTCTGAAGGGAAACGGGAAAGAGGAAGACCAAGGCAAACACTGTCGGAAATCGGAGACAGGCATCAAAGGGATGAATGGAAATCGGAAACAACTGGAAAGGATTGCCCAGAACAAAATTGATTGCAAAACCTAGTGGGTGGCCTATACTCCTTCAAGAGGGGTAACAGGCATAAGTAAGTAAATACTTAGTCAACTCCAATTGGACTTGATTCATGATTGGTTATGATGCGCCTTTAAATGACCTAACGAGTGGATTTTGCTAACTCATTAAAAATCAAGTTAAGATTTTTGTCTTCAGACCTAATACTGATTTTTTCTAGTGTTGAAAGATCAACTATGTTCTACGATAGATCCAAGTTATATTTTGGTAATAATCTAGATTTCAAACTATAGAATTCTGGTTTAACCGTGGTGTACTTTAAACTTGCGTCGACGGGTGGTGAAAGAAAATCCAGGCCGAGGGAGCGAAGAGAGGTTCTTCATTTTATAAAGAAGTGGTCAGTGGAGTGCATCCATGTCGAGAGGGAGGCGGTAACCCACCGTTGGCATTGGAATATGTCTGCGCAATGTTACGGATTGATTTAAGTTAAAAATGTAAGTTATCAAATGTCAACCCACTGATATGAAAGCTCAGTGCTCATTGTAAGACCTGAAGGTCTTGCGTTCGATTCCCGATGGAGTTATAGACGTATACTGTTGAAGAGTTCAATTATAGAACAAAACAGATAATCAGTGACTTCTGTTTCTCAATGTTTGCTTAAGCAAAGTCAGTTCGTGATGTGAACTAAAAAATGTAAGTTATTAAGATAAATTTGATACACTATCAAAAGATGACAAAACTTTGTCGAACATTCTAAAACAAACTTACCATTTAGGCATGGTTCCAATAAACACTCATCCAAATCATATTCACAATTTTCACCAAATTTCCCTTGTTCACACTGACATTTGAATTGTTTTACAATATGATTTGATCGCTCATTGTTAATTATTCTTGTTTCATTTGGTGTTATATAACATTTAGATAGATTTCCTAAACATGGATCTTGACTGCATGTTGTTTGATTGAATTGACAAAATGAACCATAGTAACTTGGATCACATATACAATTGCCTTCTTTCTGTATCGTATAGCATAATGCATAATATTAGTGTAATTATTGCAAAGTAAGCAGTAATAAAAATATTGCTATCTATCCTCGCATGTGGGTGAATATACCTATATGTATGCTATGGGCTGCATGAGTGAAAATTTGTGCATTACCAGTATGCATGTAACGTATATTTGTTCACAGGATAAGCATACCTATGTGTACTCCAAGGAGTGAGTGAGCAAAAGCTTATTTATTACCAGTATGCATATAGACTATACTTGCCGTTTGGTGCGACGCCTGCGCTCCAAGACCTGGGGGTAACGATTCCTCCATGCAATCACATTTATGTAGTGGGTTTTTAAGCCTTGAAAACACAGAATTCAATTCCAGAAAAGCAACACCGGCTTCACTAGATAAGGTTTGACCAACCTTAAATGGGTGGAACACCATACTGAGCATTATATTAGTGGATAAAAAGGACTAATAAATTACTGAATAGCATAGATAGTTAACCATTATTGACATTAGTTTCCAAGTTTTGTCAATTGTATCACATCATTAGGTGAATTATTTCTAGAGTTGTAACTGAACTTACTGATTATATGTTGAATCAGCTTCACTCAATGGAAGTGAAATGTTCACGCCACAAACAAGTTCCTTTCTTTTATCTCAACTGAAAATATTATGCAGCATTAAACTTTATAGAATTACTGTGTTCCAGTCGAGGCGCAATGAACTTGAAACCTTTACCTTCATATCCTGTGACGCCAGGAAAGTCTATTGGAGATTGATAAAGTCTTACAAACCTATAATTGCAATATTAGCTATTTCACAGTACTAATGGTTTTAGTGAAGATATCTAACAGTGACTGAAACCAGAGGGTTAAGAAATATTAGATTTCGATAGCATGTACTGAACTGATAGATGCTTGGAAACACATCCTATTAGACTCAGAATAAAATGATGAACGAAGACAACTCAAATACAGTCTGAAAGTAAGAGAAATCTAAAAGGGCATAGGGGCAAGGCAATAACCTACAACTCTTTTGACTTATCAAATAAACAGGTATTAAAAATTCGGGAGTTAACGAGACCATTTCGGAAAAGGATAGGACAGTGATGCACTCTCAACCCATAAAGTTATCGACTGTTGGACTAAACTGTCTAAATGGGTGCAAACTATCCGGTTAGAGTCTGCATGATTACGGTAACCAGTGGTTTTATATTTTGCGTGACATGACTCAGAATCCATCACAGTAACCAAGGTTTATCACCCTTTGTCTTCCCTGAGATCCCAAGTTACTTAATTATTTAAAAAATTTATTTTCATCCACGAATTCATATTTCTTTCTCGAAACTTAACTGTTATGGATTATCTTTTCAACAACCATTAATACTGCTACTACTTATACTACCTTGCCATCTCTTTGTATTGATGCAGTGTGGCAACTTGAACAGATACATATATATGCAGCGTTCTACGTTGTGCTTGACTGACTAACTTTTATCACCGACTCTGTTTGTTTCTCTCCTAAGAGTACATTCTCTCCTAGTTGATACCAGTGTAAATTCTTCACTTTAATATTTAACCATCATCATAACTGAATCGAGCTTTGAAATTTATAATCTCATGGAACTTAACTTCAAGAAATATGTTGTTAACTCACAACATTCTAACTTTTAGACCTGTTATGTTAACAAATACGTTTGCTATGCTTACAGTCTTCTGGTTTACATATATATGTTGTGTTTCTGAGTAACATATTTGATATCCATGTGTGATTATTTAAATGAACTTACTTAGACCTCATTTGTGTTTAAAGATTTTTCATGCTTAAATAGGGAAATAATATTGAATTCAGAAATCTCACACGTTGATTAGTTAGCCTTTTGATTAAATGTCCCTCTATGAACTTTGAATGATGATGAAGTGACGTGTCAATTTGTAGTTTTCATTTAAACACTCGCTAACAAAATAATTCTATGGATTTGGGAATGAGTCTTATAGGATATTATCGTAATTTATCCAAAATACAAGATCTTCAGTTGTAATTACAATAACAATAACGTTGATGCATAAAGTCGAGACACTCAGAAATGCACCTGCTTGTGACAATTTACTTTTCAAACTTAAAAAGTGATGATGAAAACTGCATTGAAAATCACTGATTTCGAAATAATATAAACTCCAAGCATAAAACGTTGAAATAAGGCCTATTTTTTATACTGAATCGTAAAGGACCAGTACTGATTCATGTGAGCTGGCCAAAATTTATCGATTGTTTAAAATTCATTCAGTTTATTTATAATAATGTGACTAGTTTTCGATAGATCCAAATTTTCCATAAAAGTTTCCGAAATCCATTTTTGTAAAACAGTTTCGGAAAGATAGAAAGCAAGTGCTACAAACTATTCACTAACATGACTTGAAAATAGTTGTTAAATATTAACAAGTGTAATTCTAACCAGGTATTTGTCATTGACATGTTGACTAAATAAATCCGGCAATTTAAACTGTTCAGGCTAAGAATAACTTAAAGTTTGTGAATGTCAAGTAGATTAAACATGGAACTTATCAAGACTTCTCTGGCTACCTACTGTTCTTCTGATTTTCTAATTTTTTAAAATTAAAACCGTAGTTGATGGCAGGGTATAAATGTTACTATTTTAAATATAAAATTTATAATCAGATTTTAACTTACTTTACATTTTCCTCTGTTATTGCATCCATGAAATCTACAATTGTTTATTTGTTTTTCACAATGTGTTCCATAAAATCCTGGCAAACATTCACATCTGTATAATACTTTTAATCCATTCGGGTCAGGTTGATTAATACAGATACCGTGGTTCTGACAGATATTTACATGCTCATTACTATCACATACGCGCATATCTGTAATAAAATAAAGTATGATAAAAAAGTGAATAGTTTTATTATTATTATTATCAACTGATTGCATTTGATAGATCGAAGACATTGGCAAACGTTATCTAAAATTGTGGAGGTAGTTCAGTTTTCTATTTACACCATAGATTGAATTTAGTTAGAAAAATACTGAAGATCAGGAGGAAGTAGACAGCTATCTCGTCGTAGTATGACAATCTTCATCATTGTTCACTCATGACCCCACTGAACATCGAATTGATGACTTTCGAACTAAATAGCAAGTGTGTACTTTTCAGACAGATGAGTTAATCAATATACTAAAGCGAGTGACTAAAAGTAAACACAATTAGTGTAAGGATAAGTTAGTAAGAAAAAGTTATTCAAAGAGTCAAATACTAATCACTTTAATAAGCTTCGAGACATCAAATGAACAGTAGTTAAATCTTTACCCCTATTTGAATACTTTACTCACATTTCTTCAACCTACGTTCCATTTATTCGGACTTGTGATGTTATGCTAGCAGCTTAGTATGGTGATTAGTTCTAAATTCGATTCTCATTAGAGACATTAGCATATACAATTACATTGTGCATAAGTCTTGGATGACTGAGGTAATTGGACGTTGTCATAGACGTGTTAAGAACTTCGTGTCTGAAACAGGATGGGTACTTATTTTATTCGTTTAAATAATAGACTTAGATATAGATTATTAATACAAAATAATTGGATATAAATATTTATTACCATAGCCAACAGTTAGTAACCTAACCTATTATACGTCAATTCAAATTTCGTTCTTATTCTTTGTCTGTTGACAATTTACCTGAGCAATATGTTTTATTCTTCAGTCTTTTCTCACTTTACGCGTTTTTTGAAGTCTTAAAGCAAAATATTTCAGGTCGCTATATACAGGTATCTAAGAGTAATTTAGGCAGAAAATATATGTTCCTTCATGAAGAGATTTCAAGATAGTGGGAGGCCTGTGGCTGATACGAGTAGTACACATTTATTAACTAATAGTTGACCTCAAATACTTGTCAAGTCTACGTCATATATGTAACTAGTGCCCAAGCAATCCAGTCCCATGACTTTCTAGAATAAATCATTCTAACTCGGTGATCTGTCTGCCCTATCTCCAAGTACAGGTTAGAAAAAAAGATTAAAATTACTCTTAACAAGAGACAAATACAGTGAAGAAAAACGTAACTAATCTTCTTCGGATGATGGTTTCGAATTCACTTATAAATTCTGATAATTTGTCTTTATTGATTACTGAATACCTTTCACTTCAAGAGCCAGTGCGTCATCTGCTAAGCTATTGAGTCCATATTATCAATCAACTTGTTCAACAGTTTTTTAGTCTTGAATATCAATAACTGGATAATTAAAAACTTTACCAACATTTATGTGAACTTACTGATATTGCACAGCATCCCTGTCCAACCAGGTTCACATTCACACGTAAATGGTAAGTAACTAGTGTGTTTCGAATTAAATTGACAATGTCCATTCAAGCAACCCGGTGTTGTAATACACTGATCACAATTCAAACCTGCCCATCCATCAATACAACTAAAGAAGCAAAAGAAAATTATTTGGGCAACTTAAGGCCTTATATTGTAGTCATTTATTGTGATATCAGATAGATTAATAAGTTTAACGGTGAAAAGTATTAGACAAAATGATGCGTCATCTGATGACATATTAAGCCCTTGAAGGTATTAACACGTACTGCTTTGATCCTATCTTCTAAGCACTGCGCATATTGATAAACAGAATTACTTTCCAGATCAGTCTTAAATGAATGACCGAATTCTCTTTTGTCTCTAATTATTACTACCCGATCACTGGTGAGATATATTGGTGGTTTAATCAACCTATGTTCATTCAGAAAAAGACTCCCAAATAATGGATAATGACAAATTGAAAATTGGAACATAGACAATTAGGTTCTAACTATATAGTCCGAAGATGAATGCCCCACAGCGAGACCTGAAGTTCCTGAGTTCGCTGTAGATTTTATTGATTATTCACTAACCATTTAAACAAATAAACAGTTTCATGTATTTCGGTTACAGGTTTTAAAATGTCATGTTTGTCTGGTCCTCCGTGTTGATCTCATTCTATCGATCAAATATAAATATGGCCATGAGTCTAAGTAACTTGATATTGAGTACACTACTTTTCGACGCACGGTGGTTAAAAATAAGCCACAGATCTAGTTTTTGTGACAACTGACACGGATTGAATAACACAGTGGTAACTTCTCTGATAGTAGCACTAAATGATACGAGGTAAAATCCCATGATGAGCACTAGTTTATACAATACTGTTGATACACCTTGTTAACAGGTCCCGACTATCACAAAACCTAGATTTAAGTCTTTCTGCGGACCACCCTAAGTCATTTAACCTTAGTACGTGCAGTGATGCTCTTTGACGTAATCCAATATACTTGTGATATGATTTTAATATGTAAAACCTATGAGCACTGACGATGAAAATATGTAGCATGAGAAAACGTACAGCTATTAAATTGCGGCCATATTTGTCGGATGAGTTTCAGTAGAAATGAAATGCAGATCTTGTATTTAAGCAATTGATCATCAGTATAAAGAAGAACCACCATCAATCAATGTCCAATATTTCAAAACTAAAAGACCTGAGCAAGCAAGCCAACTATCGTAAATTACCAATCATTTTAACTCAGTAAGTTAATATTTCACAGAAACGGTAGACTCAATTGATCGTTTTACTCTTATTAAATAGATTATTTCTATAAAGTATAGTTAACAAGCAACGTCTATACAATAGATGGATCTGTGATTAGCAGTAGAATTCAGAAAGAGCATTTCGTCCTCTTTGGAACTAGTCAGCTGAATGCACCTGAGTTGGAGTCTCGATCTGAACAGCAGAACTGAGATACAGATACATCCAGCTAACTATTTCTAAGTAGGAAAAAAACATGAGTTTTGGATCCCTTAATTAGCCATAATTCCATATATTCTATAAAAACTTGTGAAAATTGGCTATATTGAGGCAATCCGCACAGGAGGCACGTATTGCAACAAACGATGGTCAGAATTCATTTAAGATCATCAAAACGGGATAATTCCAATTTTTTTTTAAAAACTATTAAAATAACTGAATATTGTTTTCCACTCACCGACATAGTTCCGGTCCAATACAAGTTCCATGTTTACAACCTTTTCTACAAAGTGCTAAAATTCATGAAGAAAAAAGATACTTTATGTTCAAAAAGTATGGTAGAAATGAAATCATCAAAAACTAAAAAACTTATAGGATGTCAATTCGTAAAGAAAATCATCTGTAAGGTGTTTACAAAATAACCCCCAAATGCCCTGGTACGGCCGAGAGTGGGGAGAGTCCGCTCTCCCTCTCGAAATGCTCTCACATGGCCACGCGTATATAGCCTCTGTCAGGGAAGTCCTACTCACTGCCTTCTCGTGGCGGGCGTATTGTTTACGAAAATGAGAGGACGAAAAGCGAATGTCCGGCGCTTTAACCGGATTCAAAACCAATGGTGCACATGGGCTCCAGTATCCTGAGTGAACAAATGGTGTATGAAGCAATTGTTGGTCACCGGATACCATGGGACTGCATCTCCTCACGATGCTCCACTGCCTTGTGGATCAGGTCGAAGGCTCGGGGTGTGACCCCCTAAGAAAACCACCTGCTTCGGTTTGGGCACCCGAGCAGTATCACAGCCCTCACACATATCGAATGAGATTTGTGTGGCGCATATGTATTTGGTGCCTTTTTGTACCATTATCTATGTGTTGAAATAAAAATAATAATAATAAAATAATAAATACAAAATATCTCCCCAAAATCCTCTGGACAAAAATAATTATAGTATGTTTATAGATGACTGGTGTTGAAATCGAATTCTTGATATTCTAAAAGCAAGTTGTGGATTGTGTTACTAAAAAAACTGAAGACTAGCGTAAGTGGATCATAATATATAATTAAGTAATTTAAAGGATAAACGGTGTCGTACAACTACCCAACAGGTAGCTGTAAATAGTCGAAAAGAAGCCACAGATCTGGGTTCTGGGTCAGTTGGCTTTCCTTAGCACAATATCTAGGTCTCGATTCCAATATGTGAGATGTGAAGTAGTTTTTTACTTACTACATTTATCTTCCCTGTCACTTCGAGTTATATTCTTGTCCCTGTACGTCTTCTCGCGTAGAAGAAATGAGTTAAGTGTAATATAAGTAGATATCAGAGGAACTATGAAGTAGTTTGATTCACTTTTCAAAACTAATGCTATGGTCATAACAAATTAATGACAAGTTAAATTTGAAAAATATCCTTACTGATTGATGAAGTCAAACCATTACCATCTCACTAACAGAAACAGTTTAAAATTACACAGCTAACGTTGATTGAGGTATGAAATACCAAGTTTTACAAAACGTCAGTTGGGGATTATTTAGGTGAATTCGATAGTGTTGTGAAACCGATTTTTGATTTTATCTATAATCTTAAATCTTGAATTATATCTAACTCGTTATAAGACAGTTCAGATTCTTCAAAGAATTTTAGCTGGCAGTAGTTGATATTCCGCACTTTTACAGTAACCTGAAATTCTCCTAGAAGTTTAATGATGGCTCATACATAATGGTAAATTGAATTAGAGATGTGAACGATATGATCTTGGTTAGCTAAGCCACGATCAATCCAGGCATTTAATCTTTGAATGTTTACTGCGATTTATATCTGATACTGATGTCCATACATGCATTTTGATATGTATGAAACAGGATACTTCGGTTACAGTCCAGCATATGACTACAGAATACCAACACCAAAAAGCTAATTCGAATCCACTAACTCCATGATCACGATATGTGTTTTAACAAATATAATTCATTATATCATATCAAAACTTATTTTTCCGAATAACTGTTTATCATAAGTATTACACATGATTGATTTAACTACTTATTTCTAATTATCAGTAATATGAGAACCCTGTATGTTTCAAATATAGTCAATATACATCGTAAATAACATTGTAATATAAGTAAAACTAAAATCTGTAACGTCGAATCAAATCAAAAATGTAAATAACAAGAGTTTCTTTTGTCTCTGATAATTTTCTTAATGTGTAAGAAAGATATTTCATATTCGTCGGGCCTTTACTTCACAGCACCAGGATCCTCAACCTACTATCCTTCCTAAATTGAAACTAAAAGCTGATATTCAAAAGTTGTGGAATATATTTATTGTATTGCTGGACATCATTTTAATTTCAATTTACTGATCAAGTGGATATAAATAATTATACAGTTATGAATGAAATATTCAGAACACAAACAAATGAAGGACATTACAAAATATTATTCTCAATGTGAGTTTGAAAATTAACCATCACAAGAATAGAAACATCCAAACAAACATATTTAAGGATGTCAAAGTAAGTAGACTAAAGTTAAATACAGATATACATATATCCTTGTTCTTTTCATTCAAAGGGTTAGAAGTAGTACTAACCTGATGGACGAATTTAATATTATTCTATTTCATTTAAAAACTTTAGACTATAATCAAAATCATGTGTAAACAGCAATATTTGAATATTACGAAAAACTACATAAAAATGGAACGGAATCAAAATTAAAATTGATTAATAACTAACCTTGATTACACCTTGCCCCTGTCCATCCCGCATTACATATTAACTCACCAGTTTGTGGATGACAATGATAGTGACCTAATTTTGAGTCACGTGGTTTACAGTAATGATTACAATGTTCTCCATAGTAGTTTAAAGTACATGAATAACGATAACTGGCTGAAATATTAAAGTATGTATGAGATAATATTAACGAGGAAGACGATGAGTTTATAGAATTTTCATTTCTAAATGCTTTACGGATTTCTGTACTTGAGTTATATCGAGTTTCAAGCAATTGGATTGGCCTCCATGGCTGATTTAGTTCAACCCTGGACAATATTGAAGATAGCTGATCAATTAGCCATAAATCTGAAATAATAAAAATGTATGATTTGTTCAGGATTACTTTTAAAAAATAGTTAGTTCGTCTACAATAAAATGTGTAATTGATGAATCAAAGAGGGAATGAAAACAATTATTTTAACCAGCGTGCAATATTTCCTGTGATTTGGTAATAAAAATAAAATTACGGAGAAAACTCTTTCCATAGCTCATCCTTACACTAACATTGTTCATCTTCACCTGGATATTGCTACTATAGTATGCTGATTCATTTAAAGTATGTACAAAAGCAAACTGTATACGAGGCATAATTTTAATTTGATAAACAAGCTAACTTCTAAGTGGAATATTCCGGTGTTTTTTTCACTTGAATATAGAAGAAAATTAATTTGTTTTGATTTTCACCTATTCAATGCGTTTTGTTTCAGCGAATAAGAAATATGAATTTGGAAATTCCATCGTATCAACAAATACATACACATATTTATGCTGTGTCGAAATACCATCTCACTTAGCCTTGTAGCTACATTTGACATATATATATATATATATATATATATATATATATATATATATATATATATGTATATATTGAGTTGCATGAAAAACCTTGGCAAAAATTATGATGAAATACTCAATAAGAAGACGTTTGTTTACTAAATATTTTCAAGTATATTTGATACTTAGTTATCAGTATATAGTTTGTGGAGATTATTAAGTTTTTAATTGAGATCATGAAGATGGTCGCGCAATTTCGTGGATTGGTTAAGATTAGACATTAACACTACTAGGTGCCGGCTTTGTGGTCCGATAGGTTAAGCGTTCGCCCAGGGTTCGAATCCCTCTAGGGGGGTCGTGGGTGTTACTTATTTACTCTTTAATATCTAAATACATTTGACTTGTTTTCCTTTTGATTCGTTCCTTGGGCTATCAAGTGAAAATACTGTTCTGGATAAAACTACTAGCCTATAGTTTTAGAACCTGTAGTATTCAATTGTTTAGATTTTCGAGCATCACATATAGTACAGTTGTTATGTCAGAATTGGAAACATTCTCTTTGGGGTCAGGCAGATCAGTCAATATGATTTGAAAACTTTCTTGTTTAAGATAGAAAAGTTGTAGTGTGACCTCACGACTTAGTCTTTGATTTTTAACTTCGAAATGTTTTTACTTATATAAGATACTACTTTCAACTAGGCTAAGGTGATAAGTAAACATTTATGTAAACTAAGTGTTTACAGCAGTAATAAACTTTTCAAAAACTTTACTATATTTACTAGTGAATAATTTTGAGAGGCTTTTCCTGGAATTCTAATGAAAATCCGTGACCAGTGGAGTATCATGTTGATATTTAGACAACTAGCTACCAATGACGCTTGAAAATGGTTGTGGAATATCGCAAATTGCGTGAGGTTAGAAAAGTAAACCTTAGGATGTTAAATCAGTGGTCTAAAAGGTAATTGCTCGCCGAGAGATCTAAAGTTCCTGGGTTTGATCCCTGTAGGAGTGGTGAATGTTCATTATTGAGCACTTCAAAACAAGAATGAAACAACTGTCAAATATTTCCCTGATTTTCAATGATTGTCTAAATAAGATCAGTTTGTGATATAAACTGTGAAAAATTCCTCGATCTCCATGATACCCTGTTTACTGATAAAAAGAAATTGGTTGAAATTAAAAATAAAAGTAATAAAATGAACTAATCAGCGGTGACAAAAAGAGTACAGAGTAAACACATTCACATTTTTTCCATACCTCCATTAGATGTAAGATGATATACGTTGAATAACAATTTTACATTATGCTAAAAATAGAAAATAGAGAAAAATAATAAACTAGTAAGTCGAAAGAAAACTAGTTCGAAAAATCTAGTTACATATGGTTAACTGTTTTTAGTAAATTTGAACAGTGGTTAATTTTGGAATCTCGGATATGTATTTCATCCTCTTTAAGACTCATCAACTAGATATACCAGCGTACCAGTGTTGATATATCTGCACCGAGACTAAATCAGTAGTTTTTTTCTCCAAACACCAAACTCATTATCCACTAAACTACTGAGTTTGAATAGCCACTGGCCTATGTAATGTGTACGAATTATAGTTAGAATACTTTCTTTTTAAAATCCCACCCTTAATCACAAAACTGTTTTCAAGTAGCAGAGTAAATTCGTAGAATGTTGATGATTTTTGTACTGAAATACATCGAGGCGAAAGCAAACGCTAGTCTATGGTATGATCAGTTTTTGCCAAAATAAAGTTGAGTTCGATCAATTTGTCTTGTATTATATCTACCCATTTCTTATTAGTACACCGGAAGTCATTTATTACATTATCATAGTTTGGATCACGGACTGATTTTAGCTAGAACACCATTCGATACTAGGAAACATTAAAAATTTATTTTGTTTAAGTATAGAACTCTTCTCTGGTGTGTATCAAAAACACGATCAGGAATCGAACACAAAACCTTCAGTCTCATATTCGAACCCTTACTATTCAGACTTATGGGCTAACACCTAATGATGTACCCATCCGACTTGAATCAATTCATGAAATTGTATGACCATCTTCCATTGACTGTGGTGTGTAATTGTCTCACAGCCGACACGACTTAACTCGCCTAGTCACAGTTTCTCACTAGAACTCCTGAAATCGCAATTCAGAACTAACCATCAAAGACTGTATCACTATTTACAATGTGAATATTTTGTGGAGATTATAGAATTTTTATGGTCAATATTGCATTGGTCATATATATATATATATATATATATATATATATATTGAGTTGTGGGGAGGATCTGCAGGAGGCAATTGATGTAAAGTTTATCCACAGTAGACAACATATACGTGGTTGATCATCACGCGGTGACTGCAATTCACAGTTCAATATATCGCCGAATAACTTAGTTACAGAATCATTAGCCGTAACAAAATCAGACTTAGGCTGATGAATCTGAGGAAAAGATGCTTTGTACGGTGCATTAGATATTTGCTTACTGACGAGTGGTAACAAGTCAGAAATACAGATCAAAGACATCTAAAGCTAGATTTAATACTGTCGACCACAGCAATCTATGTCAATCAGTCGTCTTTAAAGCCTCAAACGGCTAGCAAATAATCTGAGTTGATAATCCAAATGAAGTAAATAAACTTGGGATACAAATTATTTTCACACAAAATGTCACTTTAGAACAAGAATGATATAATGTAAGAATAAAAGTTTGGTTCATGAAACATTAATAATATCAAACATCATAATACTGAATTACAGATCATACGAAATAGCTAGTTGCGAATGATTGTAACATTCGGGTCTTGTTAAACAAGCACAATGCCATAAAATGGGTCGACAGTTTACGACTGTAACATGTTTTTGAAGATCTTGTGAATAAGAAAAAATCATTGTCAATAATCAGCCAATTATAAACGGACATTCAACTGATACTAAACTACAGAAACCTCAATAATGAAAGGGTGTATAAATTGAAATGTTTTGCAAATCATACGATAGCTAAGACCATGTCGCACAGATGACTTACTAATTATGTATTCAGTATATTACTTTGTTATTCTTTGACAAGAGTCATTTTAGTTTTGGCTTGGATTTTTTTAAAGGGATAGAAATCACCAGTTTAAAAGTTATTCAAATATGATAAATGTTGGCATCGACAGTCAAGTTAATAATGAATAATCATATGTTTCGTCAAATTTATTAGTAGGTCAATAAATTATCTACATCCGTTAGTTAAATTAGCGTGTTCAATTCAATTACGTTACTTATGTTGAATATCTTCAACTATTACTGTTGATAAACTCAACTACAAATTAGCATAAGCAATGTTAAGTGTTTAAACTTTATTGATTGGCTATTATTATTACTCAATAATGTAAATCCTGGTAAATAACTTCTACTATAATCATTATTATAGAGAATAATTACAAGGATCAACTTTTAGGGATTAAAGTTAAGATTTCATCAACACATTCATTTCACATTTTACATACATGTGTTTTTGTGTCATAAACCTCAATATGTTCTTTCATTACCATATTTCTTCAAAGTATCACTCTCTAGTTATAGTAGTAATAGTTATTGTTCTTATTGATGTTATAATTAGTGAAATTACATGTTCTTCATTACTTTACAAAATCCAAAATTTGCATACCTCACGTAAAAATAACAGTGTAAATTTTAGCGGATTTCGTATAATGCATTACAAATGAAAGAACATGTGTTTTCACTTATATCACAGTTTTACAGTATTCATAAACAACAACTTTTTAAAATAAAACCATATAAGATAAACAAACAAGAAACAAATGAAGTAGATTTCAATAAAAAGGATAATATTTGAATTCAATGTGTCAATTCCCATCTGTTCAAATTGGTATGAATTAGATATTTATTGTAATTTCATATAAAATAAATTAGTGTATTAGTGTAAAAGAAGTACGTGTACTTTTCAATCCTATCATTTTTGATAATCATGATGATAATGCAATGATAATGAACGATTACTTCATGCTGTGATTAATTATTCTCTTTACTGCTTAATAGGATAATATCACTGATTGAAATCATGAGTCAAGTGAACCTAGACCAACATGGAAAACCTGGAAGCATTGGATGGCCGTTTCATTCTAGTATAGGACTCCTCAGTAGTGCGCATCCACGATCCCGCACCCCGCGAGGTTTGAACCCAAGACCTATCGGTCTCGCGCCAGGCGCTTAACCAACCAGACCACTGAGCTGGAATTAGAACTCCAGGAGTGAGAAGCCGTTACCAGTGGAGTTCAACCAGGTCTGTTGTGAGATATCAACTCAGTGAAGACAATCGTATACGGTGGCGCAACTTCGTGGATTGGTTGAAGTTAGACATTAACACCGTTGGATGCCGGCCAGCTCAGTGGTCTGTTTGGTTAAGCGCCTGGCGCGAGACCGATAGGTCCTGGGTTCGAATCTCGCGGGGTGCGAGATCGTGGATGCACACTGTTGAGGAGTCCCATACTAGGATGAAACGACCGTCCAGTGGTTCTAAGTTTTCCATGTTGGTCTATGTTCGATCGACTTATGATTTCAATCAGTGAACTTTCTAAAATCTCCACAAAACCCCCTTTGATAATAGAACAATAGTTGATTTTGGTGGTTATTGTGAAGATATTGATCATTTTGATGACAAATTGTAATCCGTTAAACAACGAGTACAAACTAAAGTGAACTAGCAGTAGATTCATATGACCTTATATATAAATGAACCATTATACCTTTAGGTCTTCAGATGAATAAATCTCTTTGTATCTGAGTTAAGCTAATAATTGGGAATTTTTTCAAAAATAAAATTACATCAAATCACTATTGAGACAAATCATGTACATTTTCCAGATAATAAAACTGAGTTTTTTAAAATCTTTTCTGTAATATTTCAAAAAATTCTATAGGTTCATAATTTCAATCAAATTCAATAATCTCCACAACCCCTTACTGACTATTCAAAGTCAACCAGTCATTCCATTGACCACATTGCAATATTTAGGTCGAATGAATTTCAACAAAATTATTAATGAGACCAATTTCTTAATTAGTAACTGTAAATTAATAAATGTAGATATATACAAATACTATTAAGAAGTTATACTTACCTTTATCATTGTGCTTAATTTAACACTGTAAGTTAAATTAACATGGTTAATCGATGTATTCAAATTAAGTAAACCGGTTAGAATTTGTCCATGTCCAATTTCACAATCGACTGGTAATAAATCATTATAAAATTCCCATGAAAATGATGATGTTCGATTATAAGGATGCATTAATTTATCTTGATGTTTCATTAGAATTGGTCTATTCAATAAAATACGCTGGTTTACATTATTTATGTACTTTGTTTCAGCTATACATATGCCTAAAATGAAATGACATTGATTAATATTGATATGTGTAAAGCATTTCTCTGTATATATTAATTCATTCGATTTATTTAAATGGTTCGCCAAATTTAAAATCAAATGTTCAATGCGTAAATCAAACACGCTTCTTGTGAAGAATTTCTGTATGAAAAAAAAACGAGGGAGAAATGAAATTTATTTGGTTAATTGTATGAAGTGTTGAGTTTATGGTAAATAAAATAGATTGTATATTAAAATTTATATATATATATATATATATATATATATATATATATATATATATATATATATGCTCACTAGTGACTGGCTTCAGGAAGTATCTCCTGGAGTTCTATTGAGAAGCCGTGACCAGTGGAGTTTAACTGGGTCTGGTGTAAGATAGTAACTCATTGAAGACAGTGGTGGATGTGTCGCTCAATTTCGTGGATTAGTTGAATTTAAACATTAATACCGTTGGATACCGTTGGCTCAGTGTCCTAGAGGTTAAGAGTTCGCGCACGAGACCGATGTGTCCTGCGTTCGAATCTCGTCGAGATGGGATCGTGGATGCGCACTGCTGAGGAGTCCCATACTAGGATGAAACGGCGATCCAATGCTTTAATGTTTTCCATGGTGATCTAGCTTCAATTGACTCATGATCACAACTATTGAAATTACAAGTAACTGTTTGATACTCCAGCTTCTCAGAATATGATCTAAAACTAAGATTTCCATTTGATAGGCTGAAAGTTTTTGAAATGCTGTTGCAAAAATTATAAATCACCTGAATACATTTAGGTCAAAATTTTAATTGAGTAAATATTTTGGACCTGTAAATTCCAAGTAATCATTTTGGATTGGCTGATACTTTAAAAATCTGACCTGTGAATGAAAGTTATTTAATAAATGAAAATAATACTTTCTTAGTCAATCAAATTATTCAAGTAAGATTGTCCAATAATGCAATTCCCAGGGATACATCTTGTAATAAATGAATAACCAATTTGGAAAATTAGACGAGTCACCTATTTCCAAGTTCGAAGTGAACTTTTACGAAACTAGGTGGATAATCTTATTAAATCGAAGGTAGATTACTTTATGAAGTTTAAGATTTGAACTAAATAAAGGTGACCAATGGAGTTCAATCACAGTAGATGGAAGATGGTCATATAATATCGTGAATTGATTGAAGTCGGCTGAGTACATCATTGGATGTCAGCCCAGTGATCGGAAGTATAAGGGTTCGGATGTAAGACTGAACGTTTTGTGTTGAACTGTTGATTGTGTTTTGGATATAGATCAGTGTCAATCTAGTTAAAATCAGTTTATTATATGAATCATGAAAACCAAAGAGTTATGCATAAGATATTGTGTTGCATGTAAGTGATTAAGAAGAATCATGATGAACTATGTATCCTGATCCATAAATAATAAAGGGATATATAGATTAGTATAATTACACAAAATTGATGATCATCAATTTAACTTTTGTTAAGGATGGAATATTCATTTCTTTTTAATCTTCTAGACAGATTCATGCGTTATTCGTCTTGTTTTTGAATTTTGTTTCCGAACACTTCACCTTGAGACAGTTAGAAACAAGAACAAAAACCAGGAGAGTAAATTATTTGTAAAATAGTAATCAAAACTCTTATTATTTTTCTTTATTATTACACTACTTTAGTTCGTCGAATGATGATCATATGAATCTTAGTGATATAATGCTCAAGAGAGCCGTAGAGTAAGCTATCATGACGATAATTTTAATCATATCTGTTGTATAATTTTGTTTTATTCACACTATGGTAAATATGACTTAGTATACTCGAGTTTCAGCCAGATATTTGTTCTGTTTAATGATAACAAAACGTGGATGAGAGTGTTCAAAGAAAAGGTGACACTTAAAGGCTATCTGATAGTTTAAAACTAGCTTGAGTGCTGAATTAAAGATGGATCAAATCGTAAGTCTGATTACATAATAAAATGAAATCTCCCACTGTATTCTCACTTTCTTGATAAATCCATTAATAAAAGAACTAAAGACAAGGGACTTTTAGTTAAGTGGCAATAGAATTGTCCTAGAAATCTCCTTACTATCATTTATTAATAACAGACATAATTATAATCATTTTGGACATAAAATCACATGAACTATTCAACTCTTACAGTTATGTGGCTAAACTAATAATTAACTTTGTATGGAATATATCTAAAGCATATAAATTTATAATTCATGTCTAGCTATCTGTATATCTTAATTATGTTGTATCTTCCATTCATTTGTTTATCGGTTCATAGCTTAGTAAAGATAGCATAATCAAGATAACCTTCACACAGATTACATTTCTATAAAATCACCTAACTGAAAGTACAAATAATCTGACCAATGTAATAAATTATTAACGGATGGATATAAACGTCTGATGAGAAACTATATTCATCATAATACTAAGGCGTCATTAGTTGAACAATTGGGAAAAATAATTTTGTTCTATACATATATATGTATACCACCATAGGTAGGATATTATGATGTTATTTCAGACTACATCTATGGACCATAATAAAAACTTTATAAAATAAAATTCAGCGTGCACGTCGCAGAAAAAAATAAAATCAGTAATTTTATGGTGTAATTCAGGCGACAACATGTACGTTTATATTTAAGGTCAATACATTTAATTCGATAGATTGGATTTTTCGATTCACCTTCCAGGAATTAGTTTGAAATGAAACAAGTCTATAGTCTGTAAAAAAAAGTAGTTTATGGTCAATAGTGGAATCATGGAACTGCTTTATGTCCTACCTGGGATGCCGATACATTTGACTAAAAAGTTTCAGATGCGATAAAGCGCACCTCATAGATACCACTGCTTAACACAATCTATCTAAACTAAAATATTAAGATACGATGATTATAGCAAGGGATTTCGATCAAAATGCACATATATAAACTGAGAATGATAATAATTCAGTTTCGAACATCAAAAACGGGATAATTATAACCCTTCATAATAAAAATAACATAAACAGCCTCTGTAAAACTGAAAGTTATTTCCGTATTCGGCTTACGTTAACGGAGTGCAGAAATCGGATGAAAAGTGCTAGTTTGTGATTAAAATAGGCTTGAAACATATCATTTCAATCAGCCAGTCATCTACAACATAGAACCAGTACCATATTTGCATCGGTCGAGGTTGGCATACCTCATTAGCGCAACGAGATGAACATCAAATTCATAGAAACAGTTACTTCAGTGGTAGTAAAAAAAGCATTTCATATAAGGATATGATACAGGAAGAAAGAATCAGTTAGTGAAAAGAAAGGTACAAAGTGATTTAAGTATCATGTTTTAATGGAAAACAGAGAGTGTATACAAAGACGCCATTGTGATCGATATTCAGCCATTACACTCAGAGTCTCCAACCACTGATTACGATAGTTACGCGGACCCCAACCAAGTAGTTTGCATCTCCTAATATGGCTCAGACCAAAAGTTAGTGACTTCAAGCATTGATGCCACGTTTTGGCTTGGCCGCTCCTAACTTTTTTCCAACCATCCCCAACACTAGTTAACACTGTGCATCGTGGTAATCGGTGTTCAGGCATACGCAACACGTGGTCCAACCATCTCAGTCGATGAAGATTCACAACCTCATCAACTGATTTACTGTCATTCCCTAATACCCCGCATCTAACATCACTATTACTTACCCAGTGATCCCAGCAGATGCTGGCAATATTTCTAAGGCATCAGTGGTCAAATGCTAGTAGCTTACGAGTATATTCTACTCTTAATGGACACGTTTCGCAGCTGTAAAGTATAACAGAACGAACTGCCGTGCACTATACTCGTCCGTTGATTAATAGACGGATATCTCACATTCGCCTTAGGTGACGTAAGTTGGCAAAAGCCAAACGAGCTTTTCGAATCCGTGCTGAGGTTTTGTCCGATACCAAGATAAGTGACGTTGTCAACGCGTTCGTCTGCTCTCCTCGAAACGCGTTTAAATGTGTCTAAACAAATAAATTTAGAAGCCTTATTGTAGATGACGTCAATGAACTATCTACTACCTGAGTTGGTTTTGTGACGTAATAAATAAATAAATAACTTCACTCCTTATCCTTAGTTCAGGTGTTGATGCAGGCCAGTCCTGAAGCAACAACTTGCATTTAGAGGGAGAGAAGCGCATTCCAAACATTCTGGTATTGTTGCTTAGTGCTACCAAAAGACTCTGCATTTTGTCAGCGTCTTCACCAAACAGGACTATGTCATCTGCGTATTCTAAGTCGATAAGTGGACCTCCCGGTAGGAGATCAATAACCGAAAATTCAGTCGATGAAAGCGTTATTTCCATCAGTAGGTCTATGATGAAGTTAAACAAAATTGAAGAATGTAGACAGCCTTGACGGACACCACTTGAGGTTGCAAAAGTAGATGACAGTTCGCCATAAGCTCTGACTCGAATAGTAGTGTTCGAGTAAAGAGCCTTCACAAGGTTTATGTACTTCTGAGGTACGTCTTTCAACGACGGACACTGCCACAGAATCTCGCGGTCTACCGAGTCAAATGCTGCTTTTAAGTCGAGAAAGACCACCATTGTCGGACGTCGATGAGCATGCCTGTGTTCTAGAACCTGACGAATAGTGAATATGTGGTCGATGCAACCACGACCACGTCTGAAGCCAGCCTGGTTTTTTCGTGTTTGCAGTTCGTGTCTTAGTTAAGAGTCTGATAATTATCGAGGCTAGTATTTTAGATATTATATTAGTTAAACTCATCCCCCTGTGGTTGTCACAGGATGATTTTGACCGTTTCTTATATATTGGGACGATAAGTGATTGCGACCAGTTAGATGGGATAGCGTCTAATTCCCAGATCTTAGCTAAAATATTAGTCAGCCTAATCGCTAAAATTGGACCACCATCCTTGAAGACTTCTGGAGCCAATCCATCTGAACCAATTGCCCTTCCACGTTTCAGATTAACTATAGCCTTTTGAACTTCTGCTAGAGTGAGGGGACCCACTTCAATGTTCCATTCACACTGTCTGGGAATGGTGGGCGATCGTAGAGTAGCTGAAGGCCAGATTAACTACTCCTTAAAGTGTTCATCCCATCGTTCTAAATGTCTGGGCTGAGAGCAGATAAGTGTCGTCTTTT